CAGAGCTTGATAGGTGAGCTTCAACCTAATGGCCTTTTCTTGTGTACAATTTTTCTTATGTTTGGCTTTCCCAATTAAATAGAGTTTCTTAGCTAAAGCTGTGAAACATTATGCCATTTGTAAAGGAAAATAACATTACCAACCAATATGAAGTAATGAGCATCTATTTCAGTCTCCTTAAAGCTCCACTCTGTAACCCTTTTTTTCCTGAATCCAGTGGAAGAGTTTAATAGTTTTGAAATAAAAAGTCATATTAACCATGATTCATAATTCAATGAATACATCAGTTTTTAACACATCTTTCTCATACAAAAAGCAAAACGGCTGAACGACTTCAAGGATCAGTGAGTTTTTGACTCATTGTTAAACATGACATTCATGCCATGAAACAAATTCCCTCCTCATAAAAGTCATACACTTTCAATAAAATCTTCAATAAAACCTTCAATAAACCTTCAATGAGGTCCAAACCTTCAATAAAATCTACAGGGGTCAAGTAGGCCTAGCAATATTTTTCTCACAATTACATTTACTGTTCACATAACTGTCCTTTGATTTTATTTTCTTACAGTCCTGCCCTAAATGCATATACTGTATTTTGGATGTTTTCAAGCTGGTGAAGTCAATACATAAAACAATTGGAGAGCACTAAACAGGTCTTATACAGTAAGTGGTGAGGAGAAGTACTGTATGTGAGGATTTCATTCTACACACTCCATGTTCACATTTCTGTCACGTTTTGTTAATTCTGTAATGGCATTGTGCTCCAGTTAACCAAGAGGCATATGGCTTTTGCCATTGGAGCATTACGCTACATCAGTCAGGATGAAAGAAACCTTTTGGTGCTTGGAGCTGAGCACTATATTGCCACCAAAAAGCACTAGGGTTTTGCTGCAGGCATCTCACACCACCTGCTAGGGGTTGACTGGTTCCATATTCACTTTTATGCTAATGGGCCTAATAAGCTTCATGTGCCTATTGAGACTTTCATTTGTTTATGGGGTCCCAATGGATACTGGCACTGAGTTCTGAAGAGCTCAGCCTAAGGCAAGAAGGCTTTTCAGTGACTTCCAATAAGAAGCTCTCAATGAAAGAAGCAGCACGCAAGCAAAAGGGCTGCACTTAAAAAACCTACTGTACAATGACTCACTGCCATCAAACCCAATGCTAAATCACTGTAACAGCTTGCAATACAGGTAAAGTAAACTAAAGATGGCATAAAGACAAACAATCATTTTATGAATTTATTTAGATTTAGACTATAAATAGTAAATCAGTTTACTACTCTATGTTGATTTATACTTAAATTGTGAAAATACCAAGAGATTAAAACAGCAAATGTCTTCACACAATACAGAAACAATCATGACTATCTTTTACCATAAATATAAAAGATATTTAAAAAAGAGTATTTTATGGGGGGAAGAGCAACAATACAGGGAACGGAATAAAACAAACATTAAGGAAAAATGTTGTTATTCTCTATCATAAAAGCACTGATAATAAATAATGAGTAATACAGTAAATCAGGTAATAATTTAAATATTTATAAACAAAATGACACACCTATACAACTCACAGCACTACACAACGTTCTGTACACCATTTTTACTATACCACATATTGTATGCCCAATCTGTGCATACCAGAGTCCTATTACCTTTAGGCCTACAAACCCAGTACTCTGCATCTGTAATTCAAATACACAATCACAACAATGTATACAGAGAGAATATGTGTTTCTTAATAAAAAAGAATGCCATCCAGACTTAAATCTCCCTTTCTAAACAGAAGGATGACCATAAGTGAATGGGAATTTCTCCCATTTTAACAATGCATCACTATCATAGGATATAAGATTGTTAGCCTGAGGAATACGCAACATTAGATCTCCCAAAATAAATACGATCTCAAGCTCTCTTACAATAGCGCTCAGAATACTTAGTCTGAATGTGGTCTCCAAGACTGATCAGAGCAAAGATTTCTTGCATGGCTAAATCTTTGGAGAAAGATGAAGACGAAGATGATGAATGATGATGATGTTCCTTCTTCCTGTCTTAATTTTCCTCCTATTTTTTGTCTTTCTTTGTCCTGTCTGCCCTATATTTATGCTGTCGTCCATTCGTATGGAGTCAGGGTAATGACCTATGAATTGCCAGACACTGATGACTATTTATTCTTTATCATGGCAGTCCTAATGATTTTACTGAGAAGTTAATTAACCAGAGGAATCATTAGGACTACAATAAACCATGGTTTCGAGCTCTCTGAGTATTTTAAATCTTGCTGTGAATTGCAAACATAGTTAAACTTCACTACTCCCCCACCCGTCATAATGCCATCCTATCTTTCCTTGCAACCTCTGAAGACAGATCTTCAACTTTAAATTAGCTATTACTTTTATCATCTTTGACATTTTTGAAAGCATCGTTTAAATGCTACCAGTTCATGTACAAAACAGTGCTCACAAAAAACAAAGCTGAATGCATTGAAAAATGAAAAAGAACA